TTAAGCATAGTTGTTTAATGGATATATAGCAGCGGTTCTTAACCTGTGGGTCGCGAACCCTTTGGCGGTTGAATGACCCTTTCACAGGGGTCGCCTAAGACTATCCTGTATATCAGATATTTACATTACGATTCATAACAGTAGCAACATTACAGTTATGAAGTAGCAACAAAAATAATTTTATGGATGGTCACAGCATGAGGAACCGTATTTAAAGGACCAGAAGGTTGAGAACCACTGTTCTAGGGTCACAATTCATTTTTACATTTGGGCTGTGAGAAATAGTGCAATAGTGTTTTCCATATTTGGCCTCAGATCTCTTTTTGTTTTGTTTTTAGTGTAATATCTATTAATGCCCTTGAAATCTAGGTAATGTTGGTCATGGGGGTCCTTACAGTGTAGTCTAGATAATGTTGCCTCTCCTTTAATTTTGAAGTGAGAGGTTGATGTTTGTGTGTGCCTTTGTATCAGATTTGGCTCTTACTGTATTGATGAGAAATGAATTATTTGAAGTCTTACTTACAAAAAATTTAATTATAGTGTTTTCACTGTTGGATTACGTACCTGATTGCACAGTTACAACTTCTGGCTGCATTCCTTAATTAACTTTTTCCCCCTTGGTATGTTAGAAATACATGAAAAAGATCCTGTTGTTTCTGAAGTTACTAATGTGGATTATTTTAGAGATTAAAAATAATGCAGTTTGGTATTTCTTTGGTTTAGCTGTTAGGATTTTAACTGCTGAGAAAGCAGTTAATATATATTCATGTAAATATTTCCTTATGCTTGTTCGATGCTTAATTAAATGTGTTTTCTTTCTTCTCTCTTTGAATAAGAATGAATTGGGAGACGGGAATCAATTATTTTGTCCAAGCATTTTGTTCAGTTTGGAAGACATTATGGTATTGTGAAAAGGAGATGAGCTTTGGAGTTGGACATAGAGATAGAATGACCTTTCAACTCCGAAGAGTTGGGTTGAAATCCAGCCCCATTGGTCCAAAGTCACATAGCTGATTCATCATGTAGCCCTTTTTTTAAAAAAAAAAAAATATTTTTACTTACTGATTTTAAGGATAGAGATAGACATCGATTTGTTCTACTTATTTATACATTGATTGGGTGCTTTTTGTATGTGCCCTGACTGGGCATTGAACCCCCAACCTTTGTTGAGGAATAAAATTTGTGTTGATATTATGCTCTAACCAACTGAGCTACCTGATCAGGGCTCACCTTTCCTTTTTGAACTTCTGATTCCTCATCTGTAAACTGGGATGAAACCTGTTATGTAAGGCTTTTATGAGAATTAAATTAAATAGACTGCAGTGTTTACAGTTCCTGAAAAAAAAGCAGCTGAAGCCAAACATTGTTGACTTCCTTCCCCTAAAGTCTTTTCCAGAACAAGTTATGTACGGGCATAATAAAGTTGTGCCCTTAGAGACCTTAACAGTTTGTCGGGAAGATACACCTGTATATAATGAGAACATTTTATGCAGAGGGTATTGTGAAAGAGAAGGTGATGCTTCTACAGAATACAGAGTAGGAGAGGATGGAAGGGATAGCAGGAGAAAAGGCATGAAGAAAGTTTTGAGACAATCCTAGGTTTGAATCCCAGCCAAAACATGGCCCTCATTATCTTTTACTCCTTTGGATGTTATG